TTAAGAATGAAATTTTAAATTCATCTACGTTCAATTCCGTACGCTCCACAGAGAGTCATATAGTAAATACTACACGGACGTTCTTAAGAATGAAATTTTAAATTCATCTACGTTCAATTCCGTACGCTCCACAGAGAGTCATATAGTAAACAAACATCTAAGGGCATCTACTGAACATTTGAAGGTCCCTACTATGTATTGGTTACATAAACTACACAAAAAAACAGTAAAATATCGTTTCATCTCGGCCTTTAGTAAGTGTTCTACAACTAATCTTTCAGTGCTTTTAACAAGTTCCTCAACTACTATCAAAGAACTTATCACTAACTTTTGTCATAAAATATATGAAAATAGGGGAATTAACTATTTTATACAAATACAAAATCAAATAGCAGTGTACAAATTAATATTAACAAATATTTGTTAAGTTTGGTTAGGGCAGATGTAGATTTGTATGATTGTTTGAAACATGCTATTCAGTTAAGTTTTTACTATATATGAGATATTATCTGATAGGTCATCTACCAGATATCGTTCCATGTTATTATTCGAAACACAAAGTAAAATCTTCAATTTGTAAACGAGACATTCTTATCAGCAATATACACGCGGACAATTATCTTAGAATTTCGAACACAATTGGACGATCATAATTGGGAGTTTAATAATTGTATTGTGCATTATAAATAAAAATGAGTAATTTATAATAGGACAAACAAAGGGATTTCGATATCAACGTCTAAATCAATACCCACGCTACGTCAACTTTTAAAGACCCAAATGTTGCAAAACACTTGTCCTACCTCCATGACAAATATGTTGTTGTCCCCGCAGATAAAGCCCCAAACAACATCGTTTTTGTGTGTAAATATCATTACATAAACTGCTTGATAAATGAATTAGGTATTGACAATTCATTTGGAAACTCAACATATACCCTCACGACACTTACCAAAGAGGAAATCCTAGATAATCATAGGTCTGTTCTACGTTCCTTTGGAATTTCAACCAAAGATGAAGAACTGGATCTTCCTTCACTGTATTGGATACCTAAACTACATAAGTGTCCCCACAAACAACGGTATATTGCTGGGTCTTCCAAGTGCTCCACAAAACTTCTTTCTAAATTATTAACATCTATTTTTATCAGCAATCAAAGCCGGGCTCCAAAGTTATTGTGAAACTGCCTATTCTAGAGGTGGCGTGAATCAGATGTGGATACTAAAAAATTCCAAAGATCTTTTAGAGTACATACAATCTAAGACTCTCTCATCTTGCAAAAGTTTTAAAACATTTGACTATCTTGCAAAAGTTTTAAAACATTTGACTTCTCTACACTTTACACAAGTATTCCCCATTCCAAACTAAAAGACAAATTGAAAGAGTTGGTATTACTTTCTTTCATTAAAAGTAATGGCGAACGTAGATACAAGTATCTTGTCTTGGGGAGGGATAAATCCTACTTTGTAAAGATTAACTCTAATTCAAACAAAAAATTCTCTGAAACTGACATTATCAAGATGCTTCATTTCTTGATTGACAACATATTTGTTACGTTTGGAGGACGAGTTTTTCAACAGACTGTCGGAATTCCTATGGGAACCAATTATGCCTCTCTTCTTGCCGACTTGTTTCTTTATTATTATGAGGCTGACTTCATACAGGAACTTCTTTGGAAGAAAGATAAGAAGTTAGCAATATCCTTTAACTTTACGTTCCGCTATATACATGATATAGATGATGTTCTTTCACTAAATAATACAAAATTTGGTGACTATGTTGAACGAATCCATCCCATCGAACTAGAGATAAAGGATACTACAGATACAGTTAAGTCTGCCTCTTATCTTGACTTACATCTAGAAATTGACAATGAGGGTCGGTTGAAAACAAAACTTTACGACAAAAGAGATGATTTTAGCTTCCCAATTGTGAACTTTCAATTTCTATGTAGCAACATTCCAGCAGCGCCTGCATACGGAATGTATATCTCCCAATTGATACGATATTCCGGGGCTTGTATTTCCTATCATGATTTCCTTGGTAGAGGATTGCTGCTCACAAGGAAGCTATTAAACCAAGAGTTCCAAATGGTGAAGTTGAAATCATCCCTTCGTAAATTTTACGGACGCCATCACGAGTTGGTTGACCGTTATGGAATAACCGTTTCACAGATGATATCGGATATGTTCCTTATGTCGTAACTTCAATACCCTTCCCTTTTCACGAATGTGACCTACCGAATTAGACTATTTACCGGATTTATAATAACATAAGCAACACGACGGATGCCACATGTGGAGTAGGATCTGCTTACCCTTCCGGAGCACCTGAGATCACCCCCAGTTTTTGGTGGGGTTCGTGTTGCTTAGTCTTTAGTTTTCTATGTTGTGTCATCTGTATTATTATTTATCTGTTTGTCTTTTTATTTTTGGCCATGGCGTTGTCAGTTTGTTTTCGATCTATGAGTTTGACTGTCCCTCTGGTATCTTTCGTCCCTCTTTCACACCACCCATTTAATAGGGAACTTCAAAGTACCTCAATAGACGTAATATCGTATTATCTATGATAGTTTTCTGTGCAATATTTTGTAGACAATTTGTCGTCATTTCTTTCACCATAGTGCATGTTTGTCCTCAACTTTCAAATTTATATGCTCCTTGTAATCATCTGTTCATTTTTGTTTACATTTTTTTTTTTGTCGTTAAAATTTTTCATAATTTCAGTTTAAAACCTAAGCAGGCTAGGATTTTGACACAATAATGTTACATTCTTTAATATTAAATTTGATTCCTTACTGCTCACTACAAATTGATTTTGATGGATTGATGGTTGTTTATTGTCAAGTGGCAAAAAAATACATATTAAGGACGAGATCATGTTGATGTGATATGAATGTAATTGAATATGAAGCCTTGCTTTGTCCTACACCGACACGCTGAGCCAGATGTTTTGACGTACTAGTGCACAAGATAGCAGGCCACATGAAGATAATATCTGATATATATTAGATTATATACCATATCTGGACACATTATTCTACCTCCGGTCTGACTAGTCCTTGTTCTTTCTCCATTTACACATAAATGTCGCGTGCTTAGAGGAAAAGCAGCAAATACCTCTTTTAAAGTCTTGACCCGGCCAGTGATCAAATCAATCCCCCGCTGCCACGAGACTACCGAGACGGTAACCCAGAAGGACATGTGTAACCAATGCCTATTAATTGTTGTGCTCTCAAACGTATTATATAGTTAATTTGCAGTTTGTACAAAATCATTAGTAATAGACTGAAAGTTTTCAAGAAACAGGATTTTGTTTTGATTTGAATTCACTCATAAATTTCAGCTTTCTTTAAAGGGGCACTAGCTTTCAAATTCATGTTCACCGATTTGACTTAAATTCTCATATTTGATTTATAACCATGTAAAACATTTATCCAAATTATAAAAAGTCTAAAATAAACAATTTACAGGGCATGGGCTCGATAATATGTAGCTTCGTTTCGTGTGTATTTCAGTCTTGACGCCATCTAATTAAATATCGAGTTGACCTCCGAAGATCGCCGATGGTCATATAAGCGATATAAACATGATAAACATAAATATAGATATAAATAGAAAGCGGACTCGTGCAATTGGATTTTTCTAGGTTTCTTTAATTTCATATAATAGATAAAAATTATATGTTAGTCATCGTTTTTACCTGCATAAGAATGATTTTTTGTGGATCGAACCAGTCAATCAAATGATTTACCTTTATTTCACTTTCAATGATGACATTCTTTTCCTTTAAAAAAACGAACACGTACAATTCATGCGTTATCCATCTCTAGCTAAGGGGTTAAATTGAAGTTCACATGAATACGGATTTAAAGAGGTAGAAATCATTAATGTTTCTTAGCTTAGTTTGACAAACTTGAACTAAACTGGCTGCTAAGAGAGAATTATTATTTCACCATTATACTTTCATTAATGATTGAACAAAACAAATCATACTTTAGATTTTTTATATAGCTCGTAGCTAGTGCCCCTTTAATACAAATAATTTTATTTGACACAAAAACATGCGTAACTCAATGTTTCAGAATCTGCCACTTTCTGAGTTTTATTTTCGAAAGCATTCACCAAAAACTTTGTAATTTGTTACAATGTCATAAACAACGAAAATCTTTCAATAAATGGCTGCAATATTTATTTTACAATGAAACATCGAATTTTCAATATGTTCCAAAGATTTGATTATTATAAATTACATCCTTATTGCGTGGTTTGATTAAAATTCTGAAAATATTTCAGTCCATTTTTCTAGTTCATACTTAAAAGAAACATTCTTATCATTTAAATTACACGTCTTAATCCATGCAATATTTACGTTGTTAGTATAATAAAAGAAAATTGTCCACACTTTGTGCATAGAGCATTGTATTGTTCTATAAATTATGTTATATAATATAATGATATCGATGAAACTGTTCCTTGAAAGAAATATTTTATATAAATCTATATTTCACTTTTCTGACACACTATAAGCACCTATGCAATACATTCATTTGGGATTTGTTTAACATAATTTAAGGGATTCAATTCATTCAAAACCATATTGTATGCTCAGACATTAATCAGTTTAAAAGACAAAGTACACTGAAATAGACATCAGTGACGCGACTTAGCCAATTTTTGTTTTACGCAATGCACAACATGTTATCTATTCCATATTCAAATGTTCAGTAAACAGTATATATTACGCAAGTCACGTATTTATCCCGTATTTAATGTACGGTTGTGTTTTATCATGTTTTACTAATTTGTATTACGATTTTATAGAATGTTATATGAAATCGCAATTAGCTAAAGTTACATTTAGGTTCAATTTGGGGCTTGATGCTACAGATACAACAACTTAATACTGCAAGAATATAATGTAAACAATAAACATGTTTTAGACATAAGGTCTATAAAATATGACAATATTTGATAAAATATGACAATGTTTGAAAAATATGACAATGTTTGATAACAAATGTATCAACAAAGCTGCAATAGCAATTTCGCAAAATGAAGACGACGGGAAACTTACATGTCTTTCCCTTGATTGAAACCAGGTGTAGGAAATATAAATATGATTGCATAATATTACAGTCCGGATAAAATATTATAAAATGATTTTACTGATTATTGCAAATGTTGCAATTAATTCGTCAATTTTACAAATTAGAACAAGACATCACTATCATTAGACTGTTTAGCACCACCTGTTACAAGAAAAGATGGCTGACGAAATAACGAAGACTGCTTATGACCGTATTCTGATTCTGAATCGTGGTCATTGTGACTTCCTTTCTTCATATTTTGTTTTCTCAGCACATCGAAATTGTTTCCTTTGCGACTGTTCTTCTTATGCGAAGGTTCGAGGTCGGAATATGGCAGCTCGTTACTCCTTTCCTCATCAGGTATCATTTGATCAGATTTGTCTGGCTTTCCAAAATTTAGCTGATAGGATGGGGTTAAATCAGAATAAGGTAAATCATTAGAATTGTCAAAATCTTTATAATTCCTCACCTTTTCTCTGTTTGCTGGGTCATCATATGACTCTGTAACGTCTTTATAAATATGCTTGTCCTTTTGAGTTTTTCTTGGATGGCTTTGCCCCAATGCATTACGTAGTCCTTCTGAAATATTTCTATTAGTATAAAGGGGGTTTTCGGATTCATATCTAGAAGGCATAGAAAACTGTGTGGACTGAACTATATCAGGGTCTTTTTCTGAAACTTGTTTGCGGTCTATATTGGCGTCAAAGTATATTTGCTTTCCATTGTTTTTAAAATCTGTTGATTTAACCGCCTGCTGATTGGAAATGTATGGTTGCCTCATTGGACCATAATCATGAGATCTAGTCTCACTAGGGGCATCGGTTCGTTGTAGTTGTTCAACACTCGAATATCCATTCAAATCAGCAGAATTATAATCGTTCTGACTGTCATTCGGAAGTGTATACGATGATTTAATTGTCTTCAACCATTTAGGGGCGTTCCTTTCAGAAGCGATTAAGATCTTTCCTACGTTTGTCTGTAACACTATGTCCGTACTTATGACAATGTCTTCATCTTTAACACGGATCTGGATTGGCATTTCGAGTCCTAATTCTTTTGATGCTGAAAATAAATCGTGAGAATTATTGAATGACAAATTTTTTTGATCTAACTTCAAAATATACTTATAATAGATAGTCTTGTATCATACGAAATAATGTTTCACATTAATATAGCACTTATGATAAGCAATAACATGTTTAAATGTCATCAATACTGAGATTTCATTCTTGAACACTAAGGACTTTTTCGTGCCATTCTTTCAATGAAAAAATTCTTTTTCCAGATTGCCAACATAGCAGAGAATTTTCATTTTAGAAATAAGGGCAGCCTTTCATTTTAGGAACAACGTATAGTGCGTCTTAAAACTGTATGTATCCATGGAATATGTTCACCTCTGCATGTTAATCTTTTTATTGAATTATAGTTGATGTGGAATAGTAGGTAAATCCAGGTATGCGAGTCGGGCGCACCAAATTCATAAGTGTTATTTTCATTTTACAATCCTTCTACATTATAAATAAAAACAACACTTTATAAATTGCATGCGTCAGAAGCGCTTTCCTCGATTTACCTTCATCAGGAACGCTCAAAACCGAATATTTGAAAGCCAAAGATGTATAAGAACCTAACCAGTTGAAGAGCTACATGACCAAAAAGGACATAAAAAGGATAATCCATCCATCCAAGGTCAACTTTGTATGAGGAAGTTTTATATTAAATTGGCCAATGTCTGTACATTAAATACCCGCACCTTTAACGTGCAAATCAATGCAATTTTCAGCTTTAATCATCTTCTTTTTACTTTGATCTTCTGACCATACTTTAAATGAAAGGTCGCTGAAAATAAAACAAAATATTTAAATTAGAGACTCTGAAAATGTCTGACAATATATTCGATCAGTGTTTTCCTGTCATATATGTGTAGGGCTCTGAATAAAGGCAACAGTAGTAAACCGCTGTTCGAAATTCATCAATCGATTGAGAAAAAAACAAATCCGGGTTACAAACTAAAACTTAGGGAAACACATCAAATATAAGAGGAGAACTACGACACAACAGAAACACAACATTAAAATGTAACACACACAGAAACGAACTATAATATAACAATGGCCATTTTCCTGACTTGGTACAGGACATTTAAAGAAAACAATGGTGGGTTGAACTTGGTTTTGTGGGTAGCCAAACCTCCCGCTGTTATTGCAATGTTAAATATAACATTACAATGACAACATTACATGAACCGCGATGGTCAGGCTGATGTTCAATGGTTTGACGTTGTAGCTAGACCCAACAGTGCGATGGACTACACATACTATATTTTTAATGTGTTTCATGTTCACATGTCGATGTAGAAGTTAATCTGTTTGTTAGAAGCAGCTGTAGAGGTTTTTAAGTAGATCTTCGAGAATATCATGTATGCAGCAACATTAAATAGGACGATACATCATTTAGTATGTAACGTAGGACATGCATAATATGAAATTTATATTTGGATTTGAAAAGTTGCAAATACTGTGTAAAGACACAAACTCATAAGGTATAGATGAAATTATAGTATTAGCAGGTTAGTTACAGATTATATTCAAACAGTTTACCAATATTACATAGTCATATATACCGTGAAGTCATAAATGTGTATGGACAATTATGAATGCAACAATGGACAAACATGTTATTGCGCCGATTTATGAATATTTGTTTATATAAGCTGAAAATAAGAAATGTAGTCAAATGTTATATCTAAAAATAGATTTTCCCAAGGACGATTTACATTCGGGTGAGCACGCATGATGCATTGCATCTAGCAGAGTTTTTCTGTATTCGTACAAAGAAGAATTAACACACGTTATTATTAATTCAAACAATTGTTTATGTTAGCCGAAGCCTTAATACATCAATAACTAGCCGGTATATTTTAGCAAACACATATAGCGCATTATACATGTCAAAGACATTACTGACTTAATGTTTGTTCTGAATAAAAACATCACAATTGCAAGTTCATTCCAGACAGTTTATTCTCACTATCAAAGACATCAGAAAATACGTATAATATTTAAAGAAAAACGTTTATTAGGATCATATAAATTCGAAAATGTAATAAAAATATTATAGATAGACATCAATATACGAAAGGCCCTGTAATTGCTATTTTTATGTTGAGAAATGCTTAAAGGTCTACAACAATGACCTATGAAGCAGGACTGTCTCGATCCCTCGATTCGACTTATGCATTACTTTATGCAAGATACATGTAATGTTAAACAATAATATTTGTGTTCAAATAATACAATAATACCTCAGTGTCGGTGTATCCGTAGATATTGTAGCTTCTTTATTTTCTATTTCAACCATTTTGTCTGTAGCCGGCGTCCAACTTTCATCTTTACCAAGGGCCATTACTGTTTGGTTCGACATAGAAATGAGGATATCATCGTCCCCAATCGTTGTACCGTCGTCTTCAAGGCAGATTTCATTAACGATGTAACCAAAATATGCTGGTGCTGCAATACCAGAAATGACACATGATTTTTTCGTCAGCACATTATCTTACGCGAGTGGGTTCAAGGAATATAATTTAACTAGTTTGTGAATATTTTTAACTTAAGCGCTTTTCACACCATAGACAATCAATGTTGAACTACTGCATGTAATGAGAAAGACGTAAACAAATTTTAATTTTAAAATGGTTTAAGTTGTTTTGTGTCGCTGGAATGCTCTCTTATTGCCACACACATTACCCCTTCTTCGACGCACAATTCTTTTTAGAATAGCATTAAAATTTTTAAAAAGTTTACTTTTGCAATGTGAAATGTGTATGAAGTGTCATTGATGGTGAGACGTTAATAAATTATTATTGTATTGTATATTGTATATTGTATGAAGTCAATTAATGTATTAAGCCATGGCAATCGAGGTCAACAATTATTTGTTATATAATAGATAATATGGATAAATCCATAACCTAAGGAAACCACTTTTCCTCAATCAATGCAGTCAAGTGTTGTATCCTGGAATATAAATTGAGTTTTACGGCGTTGTAGAGTTTTACGGCGTTGTATTGGAAATATGGAATGGTGCACTTGATTAGTGATATGTTGCGTATGTCAGAAATTGTTTCTGGTAAACGATAAATTCATAACCTGAGGAAATCATGTTTCCTCAATCGGTGAAGTCAATATTGGTAACCTAGGAGAACAATGGGTCAAGGCGTTTTTGATATTTCACTTGTTAAATTCTACTTCAACTTTATAGACTAGCGCGGCTTACCTGTCTCGTTCAAAATAAATCTATGGTTCCAAATCAAAAGACTTATTTGTTGTCATAACTAAATTTAATCTACTGAACATGCTGAATATTTCCGTTGGGCTGCAGCCAGTAGTGAAATATATCCTTGACTCTTTTTGTTTAATATCAAACGCATTTTGTATTTTCAATATACCTTGATGAATCAAGTCTTTCAGGTTTTCTGCTAGCACCAATTTCCGTAATGTTCGATTGTGGGAGCAAACATCAAATGTGTACCTAAAAATACGATCAAAAAACTAAATTCTGCCAAGTGACTTTTGAAATATGTTGATATGACAAACATGAATGATAAATGAGTCATATGACTTTGATTTCTTAATTGAATTCGTTTGATTAACGTCTCAACTCCTTATATCATTATATTGACAAACAAGATCAAAAAAAGGGTCTACATGTATGAAAATTTAACTTCGACATCAATCCTTCATTCATATTGGCATCTTAATTCATAAATTCTCCGTTGAAAATTTTGAAATAATTAAGAAACTAAGGTTTCAACTCACTCGAGAAAGTTGATGGATTCGGCCATTCCTTGTATGTTTTTTTTTTTTTTTTTTTTTTTTGTGATATGGCTCTCCACGTACTTATACATCAATTTTTTTGGTTTGATCATTCCTGATGAAGGTGTAGCAAGCCAAGTTCGAACGCACTAAAATTATGGGGTGTTATTTTTATTCTATATGTGTTTTTGTCATTTTAATAAATTTGGTGTTAAGGGCAGATTATTGATATTCTTTTTTATTCAACATTTTGCGAATTACGAGCTGTCATATTGTGACCTCTAGATGTCAGTTTGGTTTTTGTCCATTGGTATATACCATATATCTCTTTTTCTTCATGTTTCTACCTATATTTATACAAATTGTGGAGAAATTCTGAAGGTAACATTTGTGTAGCAAATAACAATTTAATTGATAAACAATGCATCACCTTAGTAATTCTTACAAAAAAGTAAGATATACAAGAAACCTTTGTCTCCCCTTCATAATTTCCCAGCTAGTACTCACTTTTGTATTGGGAGATTAGAAACACCTGAGCGATCTACCCAGTGTTCATTTCTAGCCAATACAACTAATATCTTTCCCATACAAGACGCTAGAATCTCGTCATTATCTACATCAGTTCCGTCCTCCTCCAATGTAAGACGTACGGGATTGTCGTACTGGTATATGGTGGCAGCTGTGAAAACATTCCTTCACAATAAACTATTTACAGAACATTATTTTTTTTTTTTCTATAAATAAGGATTTTCTAACCCACGAATAGATTACTGTAACTGTATTTTGCAAACTTTCGGAATTTTGGGTCCTCAATGCTTTTCAACTTCGTACTGCTAACTTTTTGATTCGAACGTCACTGATGAGTCTTTTGTAGACGAAACGCCCGTTTGGCGTATTGTATTTTAATCCTCGTATCTATAATGATGTTTTCACATTATAATTGAAATAAAGAATGGTAAATTCTTTCCGCGAATATTCACTGAAAAGAGGCCGGGTGAAATGATTCCTCGTAACATACATTCTTTTAAATAAGTTGCTCGTAAATAACAGATAGGAAACGATGACGTGAGTATAATGTGTTGGGTATAACCAACTATATCTATCGTTCCGTCGAGGAGTGAACTCATTCTGAGTGTAGAAACTCCAGCGTGATGAACAGCTAAAATCACCCAAGTATGTACAGTTAAAATGTAAGATGGTATTAATTAGTTGTGGAGTAGTGTCGACACGCTGGATGCTTGAAAAATGTTCCAATGACGGGGAAGCTCGAATATCTGGAGGTATGGTATTCCAAGATATGATGGTGGCACGTAACCTTACTGATCTGACATTTTTTCACAGGCATTTGCGTTTATATATGCAAAGTTTTAATTGTGGTATATCGTGGCAGCTGTGAAAAGATCACTACACATTATAATAGAAAAAAAGCGAATGTATGGAACGCCATGACTGTCTTCTGATGTTGATTGTTAACTATGTTCGGTGCTTGATGCATTACGTTCAGTAGTATTTATATTTTGTTTAGTAGTTTTCATATTATGTTCAGTAGTTTTGACATTATGTTCAGCAGTTTTGACATTATGTTCGGTGCTTTTGTTATTATGTTCAGTAGTTTCATTATTATATGCAGTGGTATTTAAATTATGTTCGGTACTTCTGACGTTATATTCAGTGCATTTTGCATTATGTTCAGTACTTTCGACATTATGTTCAGTAGATTCAATATTATTTGCAGTACATTATGTATTACCTTCAGTGGTCCCGGTTTCTTTTTATTCGGTGGATTATTCATTATGTTCAGTAAAAGCATCAGTATTATACTCGGTTCAATGAACTATATGTTCAGTAGTTGTATCATGATGATGATGCAGTGAAAGTCGGGAAATCAATAACGGAAATTTTCAGAAAAAAACAAACGCGGATATTTTCGACGGACGTTTTCTTCATGGACACTTTAACGGGATCAGGAATGAAAATGGAAGAAATGGAAGCTGTATTAAATTGGTTTGGTTCACGTTGACACGTTGGCTATTTTCACAAGGAAAAATTTACTCCTGACTAAATTTGTAAGATGATTGATTGATTGTTTGTTGTTTTCTGAACGTACAGTGGCAAATATTTCACGCATATTTATGGCGGAGAGAAGAATTTTCAAACAAGAAATAAGAAGTGGCATGCGTTGTCGTTGATACACCATGACCTTAGAGAGACGACAAAAAAATAAAACAGCAAAAAATAAAATATAAAAACATATTCTATAGCTCCTAGTAGGTAACCCTTTTTGGTTGTTGTTTGTAGCATATTAATCTTATGCACCGATTTTTAAGAGACCACGAAAAATCTCCTTGCAGATACTCCTATAGTATTCTGCATCCTACCCCGCTAATAGACGCTAAAATATCAGATATTTAGTTGAAATAACCCAAGATAAATGAGGTTGTGGATGAGGTTTACAGAATATAGAAAGTTGATTCATAAATATGACCATATCAATGATAATTCATGGTAACACGGATTAGCCTCGAACCTGTATCTGGATATTGTCAATCTATTTCTCTTCATTCTGGCTATCATTGGTGGATCTAGAGACTAAATCCAGAAATATGTTTTAAGCGCTCTGTTCAAGAACAGATATTAAGTTATTGGTTTGGGTAGTTTCTAGTCTCTTATTAAACAAAAGGGGTCATGTTTTATGCATTACTTTAAAATAACAAGAACCATAACTGTACAGAAATGGTGAAAATTTGCACATAATTAAAGTTTTGCACTTTGTATTTTGATATTCATTACCTGTCTAATAGACAGTCTATGGTAATCATATTTACACTTAGACCAGTTAGTTTTTGTGTATACAGCTTGAGTTTGGAAGATTAAAAATCTTAATAAATGATTTTAAAATGACAATCATACTGATACTTAATGTTCATCTATTGTAGCACTTTGTACAATATTTTATTCTTTACCCTTGCATACCAGCATAAATTTCAATGTAGCTCTCTGAATGTAGGACATTTATGACTAGTTGTTTTCTGGTTTTTCTGCTATTGCAGAGCTTTTTGCTGTCCTTTTTGTCTGAACTCTATCACGAACTGTTTTATCTTTATTGTAATAATTTCTGACACAATGCAGGAGAAGAATGTAAGATTATCTTTGTCTGCAATAGTGGACGAAATAGTACGTCAAGATTTGTTAACTCGTGCAAGATCGTGATTTTCGGGGAAAATATCGAATGTACATAATTTGCATGGTAACATCAATTAACCAGTTCTGATTACGACCAGTTCAACATTTCATTCCATATCAATAATAATTCGGTATGCAGAAAAAGTTTAGTTATTCTGTTAATCATTTAATTCTGTAATTACTTTTTTTTTTTACCTTTTTCCAAAGTTTTAAACATTTTTTTTAAAGCACCCCTTTATTCTCTATTCTTTATTTTTTGCCCACCTTCTCTTTTTTGGGGGTAGGGGCATTATTCTCTATTCTGTAAACCTCATCCACAACCTAATATATCTTGGGTTATTTCAAATTAATATCTGATATTTAAGCGCCTATTAGCGGGTTAGGATGCAGAATACAATAAGAATATCCAGAAGGAGATTCTTGGTGGTCTCTTAAAAGTCGGTAAGTCGGTGCATGAGATTAATATGCACAAACAACCAACAAAAAGGGTTACCTTCTAGGAATACAAAAGCTATAGAATATGTTTTTATATCATTTTTTTTTTGCTGTTTGTCTTTTTGTCGTCTCGCTATAGTCATGGTGTATCAACGACAATGCATGCAACTTCTTATTTTTTGTTTAAAAATTCTTCTCTCCGTCATAAATATGCGTGAAATATTTGCCACTTTACGTTCAGAAAACAACAATCAATCAATCATGACATCTCACAAATTAAAGTCAGGAGTAATTTTTTCATTGTGAAAATTACCAACGTGGGAACGTAAAACAAACCAATTTAATACTGCTTCCATTTCTTCTATTTTCATTCCATCCCGTAAAAGTGTCCATGAAGAAAACGTCCGTCAAAAATGTCCGCGTTCGTTTGTTTTCCGACAATTTCCGTTATTGATTTCCCAATTTTTACTGCATCATCATAATTATACAACTACTGAACATATAGTTCATTGAACCGAATATAATACTGATGCTTTTACTGAACATAATGAATAATCCACCGAATAAAAAGAAACCGGGACCACTGAAGGTAATACATAATGTACTGCAAATAATATTGAATCTACTGAACATAATGTCGAAAGTACTGAACATAATGCAAAATGCACTGAATATAACGTCAGAAGTACCGAACATAATTTAAATACCACTGCATATAATAATGAAACTACTGAACATAATAACCAAAGCACCGAACATAATGTCAAAACTACTGAACATAATGTCAAAACTACTGAACATAATATGAAAACTACTGAACATAATGTCAAAACTACTGAACATAATGTCAAAACTACTGAACATAATGTCAAAACTACTGAACAGAATATGAAAACTACTGAACATAATATAAATACTACTGAACAAAATGCATAAAGCACCGAACATATTAAACAATCAACATCAGAAGACAGTCATGGCGTTCCATACGAATGTCCACTGAAAAGGGACAAGGTGAAATGTCTCCTAAAAATAGAGATAAGTTACTGGGAATATAAAGATACTATATTGACTGAGTGTTCCCTCACTGATCCGATATTTTTCCAAGGCATTTATGGTATATATATATATATATATATATATAAGAATATTTGACCTCTTATTTATACAACTTCTTACTGAAATGTTGAAGCAGTAAAGGTGAATGGCAATGTTTTTTGTAACATCGGGCTGATATGTAAAGATAATGACAACCATACCACATCTCCTTATTTTTATAATGCTATGTCAAGTATCCATCATCACATGTTTGATAGCGACCACTTTCCAACATACCCTAATACTGTGATAATCATCAAATTAATCCACTCTTCAGAGTCTAGCAGTAAAACAAATAGTGTCTTTTTGTTCTTGTCCTGGTCATTCGTGAAATATTTTCCACTGGACATTACCAAAACAATCACTCGATCATCGGTTTTACGGAGTGTAGTTTTTCGTACAGAACACAAAATGAATCCATTTAAATGCTAACTAAACATATCGTAATACTATGTTAGATTAAAAGGTAAAAGATAAATAAAATAAATAAAATTAAAAACCAATTGTTCAGAGAACAATTGAAGGTCTTTCCACATCAATGTTCTAAATTATTGATGAGAAGCTACATCCAGTTTACTCAAAATTACTATTGGTGTCCAAGCTTTGGTTTCTTCATACTGATTCAATTAATATATGGTTTCTATATACTTTTGCCTGAAATAAGGGAGATAATTGCCATCTTCCGGTTTAGAAAATGTCACTTCCGGTCTCATATGATAGCTTTATTTACACTGATTCCAAAAATATATGGTTTATATATACTTTTGCATGTAAAAAGGGAGATAATTAGCTACTTTCGGTTTAGAAAATGTCACTTCCGGTCTCATATGATAGCTTTATTCACACTGATTCCAAAAATATATAGTTTGTATATACTTATGCCTGTAATAAGGAAGATAATATGCTACTTCCGGTTTATAAAATGTTACTTCCGGTCTCAAAAGATAGGTTAACCTATGGTCATTCAAAAAATATATGGTTTCTAGGTACTTTTCCATGAAATAAGTGCATAAAATAACTACTTCCGGTTCACTCAAGGTCACTTCCGGTTGACATTGTTCAAGGTCATAGGTCAACCAACAGTTTGCAAAAGACCCTATGGCTTTATCATGTAACAAGTTGGAGTAATAATCAATTAACCTTAAATTGAATCATTTCAGGGACAATAACTCCTATAAGATGTCATTGGATTGTTTCAGACCAAATGTATCATATCTTGATCACAATTAGGCAAACATTTTGCACTTGTTCTTTAATTTGTATCTTTAAAAGTGACAGAGGAGATCAAATAACAAGGAAAAGTCAAAATTTAGAATAATACCTTGACCTTTGACCTTGGCCTCAATTTCATTTAAATGGACCAAGGAACTCAAATCAATATACCTTAGGTCTTTATCACTTACCATTCATGCTATACATATATATATATACCTTATGTCAAATACAGAAGGGGAAATAACTCTCATATGGAGTTTACGTACCGCCTCGGTCAAAATTGGACAAAACATCCTGAGGGTATTACGAGCAATTTAGTAAAATAAATTTGTCGCTTTCTTTTACGGTTACGGAGGAGATGCAGTAACAAGGAAAACAGTGTTCGGGGAGATAACTCCTACAAAAAAAATTGTTCGGCTTTGAATGGGTGAAAATAAAAAGCGCATAAACTGTATGATATTATATAAGAAATATCTAAGCGACATCTTGCGAAACAAAAATTTTACGTGAGAACAAAATTAGGCGGAAGAAAAAAAAAAAAAATAATAATAATAATAATAATAAGAACAAATACAATAGGTCTTTCCACAGAAAAGTGGAAAGACCTAATAAAATTGAGAATGGAAAAACATATATTACAGAAAGACAAACGACTTCATAGCCGAATGAATAGACAAGCAACAATCCACAAAACATTACACAGAAAACTAAAGATTTAGCAAATCGAACACAAGGCAGGGTATGAAATTATAAATAAAAATTGAGATCTATATATACATGTATGACATGTGAGACAATAGTATTGTAATAAGTTGTACATTAACAAAATGAGTCAAAAGCGCAACAGTACAGTAACACCTAACAAGAGGGTGTCAAAATCACAGCAAAAAGGTCGGTGTTTTTTTCGGGCACTCCGGCTTCCTCCACCAATAAAAACTGACCGCCACGAAATAGCCAATAGTGATAAAATCAATCATGTGAACAAATACATAACGTAGTTATTTTTACCTTTCCTCTGAAGAACTGCCAGATTTTCAGCTTTGATAAACTTTCGCCTTGTGCGTCTACATGTCCAAACTTTGAAAATTCTACAAAGTACAGATAATAATACTTGTCAAATCAAGTACGAGAAACAAAAATCATAAAACAATATCAATTCTCGATATTTAAATTAAATACTGAATACTAGTTAAAATCATTTACTTAACCGAAAAATATACTTTTATACTAAAAAATCATATCTAACAAAATAGTTTTGTCATTACTTTGTCTTTGAATGCCAAAACTATAAGCAAATTGGTCTTACGGTATATTAGACATTCCTATAATAGATGCATTGCTGCCTATTAAGCTGATACCATCATGGTGTCTGTATATATCCATACTTCCGGCAGAGGCATAGCGTGAATCATGAAAGTGATTACCATAATCGTGCTTCCCATAATTCATTTCGTGATACATTGATCCGTCTGACCGTCTGTTACCTATATGGTTATTGGTTAAGTCAGAATTTCTTATGTCTTTGAATGGCACGCTGTCATCTTCTGTCACGTGTGTGTTCTTGGGTCTGTCTTCCCTACAGAAAAGGTAGGGTTAAGAAAATATCACAATGTTATTGATGACAAAGTGTATTGCTGAAAATATGGTTTATAATTCCTCAATTTATATCTATACAATAACTAATCTCTAATGAGGAAGGATCAAATACATTTTTTCGACAAGTTGGATTAATAAATAATGCTAGTTTATTTAATTTGAATCTGCTACACTCACAGATGACTTTAAAAGTAGCACACACAGCAGCAGGATCAATGTAAATATAAGGAGTATTTAGTAACACCAGCAGACAGCAACCCGACGACATAAAATCAATGGGCATATGTTTTATGCATACCGTTGTAGTGGGAATTTATATTAGTGTTTTTTTTAAGTAGTATCTAAATAAGTCCTAATTGTAGAACAATAATCCTAAATCTCAAGTTAACAGAAATTAACACATTTGTTTTATCAATTAAAATGTTCGTGTCCTTAGAATGCGGTTTAAAAATGCATTGTATGCTTAATATATTTTAGAACAAGCTACCGACATCAAATTGTTTTTAAATTAAGATAAAAGTACAAAGTTGAGGTAGCTTTTCATCTTATATAAATGTTAACCAGAAGAATAGAAAACTAATTTAGCAGAATGTACAGATGAATTACCTGGATGTTTTCTTTTTCCTTTTGCATAAACAAACAACCAGGATAGTAACTATGACAATGAAAACAACGCCTCCTCCAGCCGATCCACCAATAATTAACCATGGTAACGGTTCTTTTTTGCTAATGATATCACCTTCAAAATAAGAATAGGATATATATATTGATTTTTTTGTTCTAAAATTTGTTCTTGTTTCATAATATTTTTATGATAAATGGTCAATTTTTATTATCGTCTAATATTCATTAATGAACAAAAAGCAAACATGTGATGTAAGATTATTTTTGTTTTAACAACTAAATTTTATCTAAACTCTTTTAGCAATTATAATTTTATTTGATTGTGCCTTTCATATATCCAGCTAACCGTTCTAGAATATCAGAGGTGTTTTATTTTTTATTTATATTTCAGTTTTTTTTCTGTTTTCTGTTTTCTATGGATTTGTTTGTCAGTTCGAGTTTATAGTTTCTGATGTAATATTGTTATCTTCTTATAATTTTTACAAATCTAAGTTTTCTTCAGAGTTATTATCAAAGTAACACAGAAAATGAAGTATGGTTTGAATACAAAGCATATAATCATTTTTTTGTTTTTGTTTGCTTAAAATCCTTTATCTTTGTTTCCGTATAGTCACATTTCGATAGCTACGAATGGTTTCTGTTTATATATTATGAGTACTTAGGATACTTGAAGATATTTTTTTATCATTGGCAATAGACTTTTTCTAATAATCTCGACTAAAGAATGCAGAGTATATAATGTTTCGGTCAAGAGAGTAACCTAAAGAAGAGAAGTAAAATCAAGCTCACAATCGCTGCAATTTAGGGTTGGGTGGAAATTATCTATTTTATTTTTTCTATACACGACATAATCATCGTAAAACAGTTAATTTTCTCCCTTATAGCAATGTTTTAAAGCTTGATTTTTCTTTGTTTAGTTACTCTTACTTGACCGGGTACCAGAATGTCCACCAACAGAGTAGGTAACCTGTCGAAAAATTATACACTCTTGAGTCAAAAGTCGATTATATGAAAATAGTCTATAATTGTCTGATATCGTATACTACACTTTAGAATAAAACAAAATAATACAAAGAAGTAAATAATACGTACGAAGAACACAATTTGGATTCTCATCCCATGATCCGTTTGCTAAACATCTAGATATACTGGTACCATTAATTCTATATGACGAACTCACACAGTCTAGTTTTACAACAGTTTCTTCTGGAAATTGTCCTTTACTGCTGGTTACATTTGCCTTAAGTTTATCTGTGTTTGCTCTAGATATAATTGTCGGATTGATCCAGATCCTCCTACAATCTGATTCCACTGTAAAATTAAATAATAATGTTTGCCACGGCAATTATACACTCAGTAGTTTAACGTGTATTAGCCTTCATACAATATTCTATAATGTATGGACTGTTATTAAAGATCTCAAAGTATTTATTATATTTTGGGTTAAGTGCTCCCAAACAGTCAACTTTGTATATGAAATAACACTTTATGAAGTTGGTCCGTCTGAAACGCTTTTCTAGATTCAATTTAATACCTTTCGTATTTTTTAAAACCCTTTGTCTCAAGCTTTGCTAATGAAAGTTATGCCACATCTTCTCGTAAAACTGGATACTTTTTATAATAAATGCAGAAATATTTTGTAAAATGGCAGAGACGTGTTGAGGCAAATAAGTGATTTTCTTCTAAATCTATGAGAGCTTTAAAAATTACAAACTTCGTCTCATTGAATCGGCCGTGCCCGGAGCCGTCAATAAAAATTATTTAAAATGTTAAGGTAATGATTTTGCGTTGTCATGTCATCTCTTGCAAAATTTCAGGACTTGTTGAAAAAAAAGGTTACAGCGTTACAAAATCAAATTAAAAAAACTACGACACTGGAAAACTGTTGTCAATCATTTTGGCGGCAACAGAATGATCGAGGACTTCGGGAAAGCAGATGAGTGATGCAGACAACGAAAGCTGCGAAAGACAAGAACGACTGCAATCAAATAATGTGGATTAATTATTATTCGTTAATACCAATTTTCGAGGGTTTCGAAACCACGAAATCAAATATCCACAAAAGTGCAAGTTTTCCTCAATCCACGAAAATTGATACCCACGAAAATAAATGAATCCACAGTAAACAAAAATGAAAAAACAGATAAAAGTTAATTTTATTTCAAATTGTGTAAAATTGGTGTGTTAGGAGCATATGGCAGGTCGTAATGCAAAATTTAACATTGGTTTTTGTTTATTTATCGAATTTTTCTGATGCTTAATAGAACAAAAACCCTAGCTGTACTATAAAACTACATCAAACTAATACTTTTCCTATTTTAAAACAAAACTTTAAACTGATGGGAACACACTGATGAACGCACGCACATACCAGAAAACAGTGTGTTCATTTTACTATTGTAGACGAATTATTTAAATGGTTTGCTACTATAAAGGAGCAAGTCAAAACAGGGTCATATATGATAGTGGTATATTCTATACTCTCTTTCGATTTCAACCTTAGCAATATCTCTTTGAGGGTCTGTACGTGGCCTGTTTCATGAGATGCAACATTTTTGCCGGAACGCAAAATACCCGCACGTATATTGTTAATGTGCTCTCGTCCTTTTGCTTGCAATATTTGCCACTCGACGTTGAGAACAATAACTATCAATCAATCAATATCAATCATATTTCCAGCTAAAAATTGTTATAGTTATAATTATTAAATCTACCTACCTTTATTTGGAAATGTCAAAATGACAAATGAAACTGCTACTACATGAAGACTTGAAACCATTGCTGTAATTCTAATGCAAAAAAAAATATTTTTAATATTAAACAATAATGCTGTTTATATGTTATGCAAATCCTTTCTTTTCGAATTATCTGCTTCTGTAAAAACTGTAATCATTGATGTGGTTTGTACATTGAGAAGGATTTGAGACTTGTAGTAACTTGTACAACATTTCGAGAGTTATTTTAACAGATTAGTTTATTCAGACAAACATGTGAATGAAGTAATCATGATGAAATGAAATTAGGACGAACTTGGATCATTGTATGTCAAAAGGGCAAGGTGAAAGCGTTACTTGAGTGTAATACTCACTATATTGATAATTTAGAATGTCAAAAGTTCAAATAAATGTGTATTCCCATGATTAAACTGTATTTCAGTATTTCTATAATATAGTTGAATGGTTTTAAAAAAAAGATGACGGTAAAAAAAATGTTTTATATGTTTTAAGACACCAGCAAGTTGTTAAGTTTGGTTGTCTTTGGCTTTTTGTCCCAAAATTTCAAATAAGAGTTTCAGATGCTCTTGTTACGTTGGATCTTGAAAAGACAAGTCATTTATCTTCTAAATTAAAATCAGAACGCTGAAGTCAAACACAAAAAGTGTCTTTCGAAATATTTTGAACTTATATCAAGACATCGACAATATATCCTGAGGTTTCCTAAAAATCAATAAAAAGTGAAGCTTACTCTCCATCACACATATGAAAAACCACCGTCGAATGAAGCTTATTCTATTCATTCGTTCACGCATGGGCAGTATCTAATTTCGGTTACTCAACTTTATCAGATAACGTACCTATTTTTTTTTTAATTCGAGATTACTAGTATATTAGATATAAATCTACCCATGAAGCCATTATTTCCTAGTGGCAGTCAACATTATCACATTCCAGGTTCTATTTTTTATATATACATATATATTGAACTTGTTCGACAACGACAAACCGTGAATCGTTCTTCCGGTGGATTTCAAGCAACTATCAGTTGATCAACCAATCGTTGAAGCATCTTTTAGAGAGATTACAAATGTGTAAATAAATAAATATCCGATACATTTATTTACCTGTTATATTGAAAGGTTTAAGATATATTCCCAAAAGTAAGAAGTCAAAATAAGCAAAACACACAGAAAATATTAAGCCAGCATGTATCAAAATCATTCATTTTAAATCACAATTACGTAACGTAATCCTTGTCCAAGTGGTAACACAGATGTGATAGGAAAAATCAAGTCACACAAGAGCAGGAATTGAGAATGTTACGTGCATATCATGTATTCAAAATTACTTTTTACAAAATTGTTTGTACAAATAAAGATAAATTATCAATCTCTGTGTAAAGGTCTTACAGATTATCGGTTTACATTGAATTAAACAGACTTACACCCATAAACAAACATTCAATTATTGGTTATCTCAGTTCGAATTGTATCATTGTCAATCATATGTGGTTTTTATGTTGAGAGAAATTATTTAAAATACTGATTTCTTAAGTGAAAATAGTTATACTTGTATATCTCTCCAAGATATGTCTTCTGGGTATCAGGTCAGTTATTTTAACA